TAATGAGCTGTACTCTTTAATAAAGAGAAACAAACAAAAAAATAATATAATTTCAAATGTTAAAGCAAGAAATTAATCATTGTACAGGGGGTTTTTCTAGAAAAAAAATGCTAGAGGGAGCACTGCAATTCAGTGGCACCACCAAGTTGGGGAAATAGGGTTCTCCCTACCAGGGTGTGGAGTTTTTGATAGTTCTAAGTTAAAATGGAGCATTCTATGGATTTCTTGGGGCCAAAATTACTATCAGACAGGTCACAGTTGAAGACTACATGTGATCCATGGTCAATCAGAATTTGATGGTTGCCAGAGGATCTGCTCCCCAGGGTAAGGGGGCGCATGGCCATGGCATGAGGGCGCTGCGCCCCTGTTCCCTTGTTAAAAGAAATCCCTGGTTGTAAATAGAAAGAACTAAAGTGTATTTGTAACCTAATATGTCTGGTCAGGAGGATACTTCAAGTCTGAATGACATTGGAGCTGGTATCAATGACAACAGGGGAAATTGATTGCAAAAAAAACTCAAGAATCATCTCTCGCCCGCCACCCCCACCCTAAGAGTAGAAAACACTGAGGAGTTGAAGCTGAAATGAGCATGTTACTTCACTTATCTGCAATGCATTATGGGAGAAAACTTTGCAATGAAAACTCACTATTATAATCTTTATATATATTATTATTGAATCATATCAATAATAATAATATACAACTTCTATGTCACTGAGCAAAATTTTGAGATAAATGATTTCACCATATATAACCCGTAAATAATAAAAACATGAGGAACACATATAATCCTCAACTTAGTCTGAACGTCCACAGACAAAGTTGAATTGTAAGTTCAACGATAAAATATTTTGGGTTTCCAGTGGTTAAAAAAAACGATGATAACAACTATAATCAGAATAAATTCCGTCAACCGAAAATACGATTAAAAATCAGTGGCTGTCAAGAAATAAATTTGAGAATCTCCCAACCACTGTACATATTACAGCAATCAGATTTACATTTATAGCTTTTTATAAGTTGAAAAGATAATATTTCAAGGACAGACGATGGAATGAAGTGGGGTTAATCAAATCTTTGATTTAAAAACTACCAACTAACAGGCACAAAATAAATACTTTTAACATTCAAGTTTTGAAAATTTAACAATGGAAAAGTTACTCATCCAACCAACACATCTCCGACCTTATACTTTTCCCATTGATGTGGCGAATTGCTGGATGGATACAAATTTTTAGTCATTAATGATCTCATAAGATTAACCCTTTTTGACCGGATTATAAAAACTAAATGCCTGAATAATTGCGCTAGACAATTCATCCCATCAAATGATTCAACGGATGGTACCCCATATGCGGTTATATTAAAAGATCATCACAATGTGTGTTATGTGGACATTGATGACATAATGAATATTTAGAATTATTACACGTCCATGTCTTGTCCATCGACGACATGCCATGTATATATCACTAAATGTCACAAGTATTAGTATGTCGACTATGTACAACAGAAAATAAGTCACATTTTCAGATTATTTAACCTTTGACCCCTTAGTGGCATGTTTTTACATTTTTTTTGAATACCTTCGATAATTTAGGAACTAATAGCCATAATGTCTCATTGGCTACAGGTTTTTTTTTGGAGGAAAAATGAAAAAAGTTATAAAGCTTTGATTTGCAAAAGATGACAAAAGAGGAAACAATATGGTCACCTTTGTCGTTGCTATGCAACATAATTTGATGATGCCAGAGATAATATAATCATTAACCATTTTAACACCAATGTCAAGTTTGCCGGTCACCTTCCACAAAACAAACCAACGTAATTTTAAACATTGATCAGTAATTATCATGTGAATAATTACCAGGGTAACACACAAAACTACAAAAAAATGCAAAGGCAATTTCAAAATGTTGCACTGAAATAATGGCACTCAATAATAACGTTATCATCAGCTTTTAGCTCAACAATCAGTGACCTTTCACTTAGTTGACCTTGGTAACTTTGACACTCTTACCTTAAATAAAGGTATGGAAATTCCTTTATATTTTGCTTTTTTACTTTTTCTTAGTCCCAATCTTGTCAGCATGTGTTTCCGTAGATCTTTCATAATGGGGGAAACAGCATATAGCATAGCAACAGAACCTTTCATCTGAGCCTGAAAAAACAACATTACAAATATGAATATGGTATATTCACATCACTTGGTACTGAAAGGAATTCAAGCTGAGTTCAATTTTTATATTATTAAACATGTCAGTGTACATACATGTATACATACAAGCAACAATAACTGTATGTGAACTGTAAATGTATGTAAATGTGAACACTTATGGAAATATACACTAAAACCTGACGTACATTAAATCAGTTGCAAGTAAAAGACGGCGCCATCTACTGAAAGCCAGTCTTGTCAGAGATTACAACTCATGACAACTTACCGGGCTCCCGGCAAAATGTCAAATATGTAGCTATCTTAAGAGGCTATAAGCTTAAAGCCTCTTTATGAATGTCTTTCTCATAATAGTGTTTATCATGCGTTATAATTTCCAATGGTTTCTATCACCAGACCATTTCAATTCATTTAAATTTCAATACAATTTTTGTGACATCAGCCCATGCAATTGTGTCTAAAACAATATTTCGGTGACATTTGCTCATCTCTATGTGGTTATATTTAAACAAAAAAATTCTAAATCTATTTAGATCACAGTTCAATGCAGTGTAGTATAGTAACAGTTAGTAACTATTCTATGGAAATGGTATTTGGTATAGCTCTATATGGTACTATAAAATCTGTATTAGAAACTGCGGCTTCTATTAAAATGGTACAATGCAACAGAGGGGATGCGGCTTCTATTAGAGCATCTACACATATGAGAAATGATGAATTTTTGGTTCTCAATTATTCAAAAAGAGTGGGTGCGACTTCTATTAGGGATGCGGCTTCTAATACAGATTTTACGGTAATTGTATTTGGTAGGTTCTTAACGTTCAGTCTTTTGAGTATATATTGTCGCTTCAATATAACTGGCTACTCACCAAAATGAAATGTCAAATTTTAAAATGATATAGTAAAATCAAATTTATATCAAATATATATAAATTTTCCATTCCATGTCAAAAAGCAAAATTTTCAAGATATGGTGAAACCAGTGCAAAAAATGCAGATTTTGTTCATTTTCTAAGATACTTCAGACTGGAAAGATTATTCGATGATTCCCATTTTTTCGGCATTTTTTTTTACTAATAACATTTACCCATAATAATAAAAACATGGCATATAATGTTCAAATCAACCCGAACCTTCATACGAAAGAACAAGGCGAACACACTTATGGTGCAGGAATTCATTGAAATGCTGCCAAGTTATTCCACGTAACTGTGTGAATGTCTAAACAAAAAAAACTAGGGGTTAACTGAACTAGTTTTTGAAATAGAACCCTCAGTTGTATTTTTGAATATTTTTTAATTCAAAATGGCCATGGGGGAAATCACATTGTTTCCATGGCAACAAGTTAGGGCACTCCTGGCAATGTAGTGGCAATGTGCTTAAAATCATATAAATTGAAACATGCATAGACCATTCCACACATATTTGCTAACATGTCTGAGAGAAAAAAAAGATTACAAAAAGA